GTTCAGTGATATGCTCTTCTGTTTCTGTCGCTCCAGCCGTTTGTCCTTCTGGATGGTTGAGTTTCTCAGGAAACTGTTATTGGGTGGTCAGTAACCAGAATCTCCTGACCAGCTGGTATCTGGCTCAGACCAAGTGCTTTGACATGGGTGCAAACCTAGTGACCATCAAAACGTGAGAATGAGCACTGAAGCTTAGGGAGATTTGTTTGGATTGTAACGGGTCACATTCATACTCATATTCCATGTTTGTTTTCATCTCTAGTGAAGAGGAGCAGTTCTTCATTAACGCACAGTTGCCTGATTTTCACCAGGTAGATATACCTGATCTGTGGATTGGCATTTCAGGTGAGCGATGCGTACAATACAACATTTTACCCTTGTAAAATTGACCATAATCTTCATCAAAATGAAGTTCTTCGAATGCTCCTATTGGAGAAAAAAGTTTTAAAAGTGAACTTCAGTTCAGTGACTTAAACAGCGGGTTACAGAGTGTGTATTTTAGCCAAACGTCTGCCCCTAAAAGGCAATAAATTTCAATTCACATTTATTTGTATAGCACTTTTCACAATACACATTGTTTCTACATTACAGTTAAGAGTGATCTGTTATCAGAGGTGCCTGTCAAAGTAATGTTCAGTGCTAAAATTATAAAATCATGCAGTTAGTTAATGTCACGTGTTCAGTTCTAAGTCCTCGCAGGGACTGGCGTCATCTCAAATCTTCGTAAGAGGCTAGATCCGGTCTGGAGCTGGCATAATCTCTAGTTAGAAACAGAAAAGCAGATGGAGGATGAATAGTGTAGCTGCTGTTCATAATGTTCATAAGATGGTCTCTGACCAGAATTACTATGATCTGCATCAGTTATCTGAATGTGAACAGTCCATTGGGTTCCATCACTCATCTCGGTGTTGTCTTTCTGAATTATAACACAGATAAGGACCAAGATGGCACATTTAGGTGGGTGGACAAAACTGCAGTGGAGTTTTCAAACTGGAGCCCAAATTTCCCTCAGAACTCAGCAAACCTGTGGGACTGTGGTCAGATTTACACCGGTAAGATTCTCGGTTGAGTTACTCAGTGCAGAGAGACACACAATGTCAGCTTTAAAAGATTTCCTTGAAAAAATGGAGCTGAATCTGTTTGTTTGTTTTCTTGTAATAGGAAACTATGCTGGAAAATGGGAAACCACGAACTGCTTTAAAAACCTGGGATATATTTGCAAGATGCCTGGAGGACAGAATGTGAAGCCCACAGCGGCTCCAGGTGAAACTACAGAAAGTCCCACACTGTCATTTGATCTGAATGAACAGCTGTTAATGCTTGTTTTCTGAATGACACAAACTTTCACATGACATCGGTTTTACAGAGAAGGGCTCTAATCTCTTTCCCGTCACACTGAAAAGAAAACTAGCCAACCAATAGGATTCACGCTTTTGG